ACACACACACACACACACACACACACACACACACACACACACACACAGAGGGGATGTATTCTAGGCATGGATATGTCTGTGCAGACATGGAGACTGTAGAGGAAATTTTGTATGTAAAGAAAAACAAGAAGGCAGTTTGGCTGAATTGTAGAGTGCATGGGATTTGAGTATAGACTAGAAAGGCTGCAGATGCAGATGAGAGCCAGGCTGTGAAGCAAACAAAACTTTGTCATTTAACATAATCTTTTCAGTCAAATTCTACATAAGCTAGAGAAGTGATCCTTGCTGAGGACTGAATTTACTGTCACTAAATTAAACATTATGAAATGTTCTCCTCTTTCCATATCTACAGATGAAATAGGAAAAATGATAAAAGGAGAAAATCACACCACTTGGACCTATTTTGTTTTGGAAGGATTTTCTAAATATCCAAAGTTAGAGATGGTTCTCTTTGCATTTAGTCTGGTAATGTACCTGATCACACTTCTTGGGAACAGTACTCTTATTGTAATTAGTGTCCTGGATTTTCACCTTCACACCCCCATGTACTTCTTCCTAGGGAACCTTTCCTTCATGGACATCTGTTACACATCGTCCTCTATTCCCACTTTGCTAGTGAACTTGTTGGCCACAGAAAAAACGATCATCTTCTCGGGGTGTGTTGTGCAAATGTATCTCTCTCTAGCCATGGGATCCACAGAGTGTGTCTTCTTGGCCGTAATGGCGTATGACCGGTACGTGGCCATCTGTAACCCCTTGCGATACTCTATTGTCATGAACCAAAGGGTCTGTGTGCAGATGGCAGCTGGGTCGTGGATAACAGGTTGCCTCACAGCACTCTTAGAAACAAGCTCAGCGGTATGGGTGCCTCTATGTGGGAATGTGATTGATCATTTCACTTGTGAAATTCTTGCCATGCTGAAACTGGCCTGCAGCAGTTCCTTGCTCATTGACATGGTCATGCTAGCGGTCAGTGTGCTTCTCCTTCCCATTCCCATGCTCTTAATTTGTATTTCCTATTTTTTCATCCTTTCTACTATCTGGAGAATTAACTCAGCTGAGGGAAGAAACAAAGCTTTTTCTACCTGTGGAGCCCACCTGACTGTGGTGATTTTGTACTACGGGGCTGCCCTATCCATGTACCTCAAGCCCTCTTCAGCAAGCTCACAAGAAACAGACAAAGTCATCTCCTTACTTTATGGGGTGCTGACCCCCATGCTGAATCCCATCATCTACAGTCTGAGGAATAAGGAGGTCAAAGAGGCTGCAAAAAAGCTACTGAGGAGAAATTCTCCTTTGTCAAAAAAATGAAAGATTCTGATTGGGGTAGCATCTCTTCACACCTGCAGGAGTAGATCACCCTAATATAGCTACTCTTAGGAATAGCAGAGAAAGTCATTTAACACTTAAAACCCTACCTTTTATCATTTATTCTGTGAGCTAATGACAAAAGAGGTCAGTATTACAATATAAATGATATATATTGTACCCAGAGGCAGTATGCTGTCATAGAATAAAATGCTGGATCTGGGATCACGTTTGTCATAAAATGTTGGATCTGGTTTGAATCAGATGCTTGCTAGCTGTGCAATCATGGGTAAGTCCCTTAACCTTTTTGGGTCTCAGTTATCTGTTAAATGAGGGGAATAATATTCATGCCACCTATCTCACAAGGTTGTTGTGAGGAAAAACTTTGTAAGATCCCAAATGCTATAAAAATGTGAATTATTAATAAGGAGATGGAATATTTGTTTAAACACAGAATAGCAAATTCCAATGCAAATGTATTAGTTTCTGCTTTTCTGTTTATTTTTCTTTTGTTTCAGGGATATAAGCAGTAATGTTCACTATGATGGCTTTGTGTCTTCCATTCCATGACTTTCCTCCATTTAGAAAATACTTGCTGCTCAAAATTCACTGCCTCTAGGATGCCTTTCCCAATGAATTCAAGTAAAATTCATATTCTTTTTGCCTGACATTCAAGGTCCCCTATAATTTGCCACCATACTCCTTTATCTCATTCTCATATGGTGACTTCATCAGCTTCCAGGAGTTCAATTATGATCTCTAGACAATTCCCTGATCTAGATTTCTAGCCCTAGTCTCTCTCCTGACCTTTAATCCTGCATTACCATCTGCTTATTAGACATTTCAAAAGGGATGTCTGCGGGTCTTTCACACTCAGTATGTCCAAAACAGAATGCACTATCTTTCCTCTCAAACCCACACATTTTCTGTACTTCCTTATTACTGTCAAGGGCACCATTGTCTTTTTAGTTGGCAAATTTGGTGTCATCCTTGACTCCTCACTCACTCGCCCCAAATATTCATTCATACAACGCCAAGTCTTCTTGTTTCTGTCTCCACAACACCTCTCACATTTGAGCCCGTCTGTCTCTTCATATAGCTACCGTCCTAGTGCAGACCATCATCACTTTTTGCCTGGACTATGGAATACCTTCCTAAATGGTATCTCTCCCTGCTCCAATCTATTCTCCAAACAGCTTGCCAAAGTGATTTTCCTAAAGCATAAATCCAATCACGTCACTTCTTTGCTCAAAAAACTCTAGTGGCTCCCTATTACCTTGAGGATAAACTTTCCTGTTTATGATTTAAAGATCTTTCCAGCCTGGCCTCATCCTACTTTTCCATTCCCCTTAAACCATACTCTTCTCCCACCTCCTCTACACACTCCGTCGTGCTGCCGTACTGGCCTTGTTGGTATTCCTCACGTGGAACATTCCATATCCCATCTCCATGCTTGCATACTGGTATTTGAAATGTCCCACATTTTTGGAATTTTCTCCTTCCTCACTTCTTCATCTAGTAATCCCTGGTTTCCTTTAAGATTCACCTCAAAGGCCACCTTCTACATAAGACTTTTCTTGGTCTCCTCAGCTAGCTAGTGCCTGCCACACTAAGGCTTCCTTGTATTGGCTTTGTGGTTGTTTTGTATAAATGTGTCCCCATTAACTTCCTCAGAGGCAGGGAATGTTTTTTTTTGTCTTTGTGTATCTAGTGATTAGCACAATGTCTGACATAAGATAGATGCTTAATAAATGTATTTTGATTGGTTATTACTCTCCTCCATGTACTCTTTGCTCTGGTCAAATTAGAGTGCTCTTTGCCCTGCAAAATAACATGTGCTTGCCTTCTTTGCCTTTGTGCATATCATTCTCTATGCCTAGAATTTGTTCCCTCCCCAACTTTGTCTATTGAATTCCTCCCTTCTCCACAGAATCTTCCCTGATCCAGCTTCCCATTTACTCTACACTTCTTATGCCTCCAGCGGTTAGAAATAGCTGTGTCCCCGGACCTCACAAAGCACTTTGTTTAGCACCTCTCTAGTCAACAACAGGCATCACTTATTAAAGGTCTACTATGTGCTAAACTCTGGGGAGACAAAGCTGAATCCCAGCTCTGCTACTTTGGGTAACCTGAGGCAATTTACTTAACTTCATTTACTGACTAGGGTTGGGTGGACTATATTCCTCCAATCAAATGATATGGAACAAATATGAGCACTTATAATAGATAACGGGACAAACCCTATGTGAGTTCCTAAAGAAGGAAAGAAAATAACTACGAAAATCAGGTTTAGTGCAAAGACTCCAACTACTGCAGTAAAGACTATTTGACAAAAACCACTTGGAAAACTGGAAAGCACTCTAACAGTAATTAGGTTTTTTTTTTTTAATTTAGTTTTATGTCTTTTATGGTTACATTTTTAAGTTCTGAACTATCTCCCTCATTCCCCACCTCACAATAGAGAAGGACACCATTTGACACAGGGGTGTGTGTGTGTGTGTTTGTGTGTGTGTGTGTATGCATGTATATATCATACTAAACATACTTCTATTTGTCAGTTTTTTCCTCTGGAGGTAGATAGCATCTTCCTTCATAGGTCTGTAATTGATTTGAATATTTATAATACTCAGAATAGCTTAGTTGTTCACAATTATTCCTTCGAACAATATTGCTGTTATTGTATACAACCTTCTCTTGGTTCTGCTCATTTCACTCTTCATTATTTCATTGAAGTCTCTCCATGTTTTCCTAAAATCAACCAGCTCATCATTTCTTACAGTACAGCAGTGTTCCATCATACTCATATACCACAGCTTATTCAGCCATTCCCCAACTGATGGGCATCCCTTTAATTTCTACCACAAAGAGAGCTGTTATAAATATTTTAGAACATATAGGTTCTTTTCCTTTTTCCTTGATCATCTCGGGAAACAGACTTAATAATGGCATTCCTGGGTTAAAGGGCACGCACAGTTTTATAACTCTTTGGGCATAATTCCAGGTTGTTCTCCAAAATGGTTGAATCAGTTCACAATTCCACTAACTGTATTAGTGTTCTAATTTTCCCATATCTCCTCTAGCATTTGTCGTTTCCCCCTTCTATCATTTTAGCAAATCTAATAGGTGTGAGATGATGTCTCAAAGTTGTTTTAATTTGCATTTCTCTAATCAATATGATTTAGAGCATTTTTCATATGACTACATATAGCTTTGATTTCTTCATCCAAAAATTGCCCGTTCATATGCTTTGGGGCAGCGAGGTGGCGCAGTGGATAGAGCACTGGTCCTGAAGTCAGGAGGACCTGAGTTCAAATCCAGCCTCAGACCAAACACTTGACATGTACTAGCTGTGTGACCCTGGGCAAGTCACTTAACCCCGATTGCCTCACTGGAAAAAAAAATACCTTCCATATGCTTTGATCATTGATCAGTTGGGGAATGACTCATGTTCTTACAAATTTGATGAAGTTCTCTATATATTTGAGATATGAGACCTTTACCTGAGAAACTGTCTATAAGATTTCCCCCCTTTCCTTCTAGTCTTGGCTAGTAATTAGGTATTGACCAACATTCATACTATCTACCAAGATAAACTCTATAAAGATATATGACTTAGTTATAAAAACTCACATCATCAACCATTTAGAGGCACAAAGAAGAAAGTATCTCACTGTGGATAGGCAAAGAATTCATGACCAAGTAAGTAATAGAAACAATCATGGAAGATAAAACTAAAAATGTTTTGCATACATGAAACCAATGCAGTTAAAATTAGAAAGGAAACAGTGAACTAAGGGGAAAAAAACTTAAATTAAATTTCTCTAATTAAGTTCTCTTATCCAAGATATATAAGGAGCTGATTTAAATGGATAAGAACAAGAGTCATTTTCCAAATCATAAATGGCCAAATCGTATGAGCAGGCAGTTTTCAAAGGAAGAAACTCAAGTTTCCACAATCATATATAAAAATCTCTAAATCACTAATAATTAGAGGAATGCATATTCAAGCAGCTGTAAGGTTCTACCTCATACCCATAAGATTGGCAAAGATGACCAAAAAAAGGAAAAGGACAATTATTGGAGTTGCCTCAGGAAAACAGACACACTATGGTGGAGCTGTGAATTGGAAAGCAGTATGGAACAATGTCTACAAAGCCACTAAACTACCAATGGGTCAAAGAGATGAAAGTACTGCCACTTCTACCCCAAAGATATCAAAGAAGAGGAAAGGAATTATGTATACAAAAGTATTTATAGCAACAGTTTTTGTGTAATTTAAAGGATACCCATCAAATTGGAAATGGCTGAGTTAATGGTATATTAATATGATGGAGTACTATTGTGTTATAAATAGATGAAAAGGGTGACTTCAGACAACCTTGAGAAAACTTGTGTATGAACTAATATAGAGTGATGGGAGTAAAACCAGCAAAACGATTTATACAATAACATTGTGTAGAAAAACATCAGTGATCAACCATGATTCTATAGAACCAATAATGAAGCAAGTTACACACCTTCTGGCAGAGAAGTATGGACTCAGTGTAAAATGAGACATACATTCAGACATGAATGATGTGGGAATTTATTTTGCTTGACTATACATACGAGTTACAAAAGTTTTGTTTTTCTTATTTTCAGTTGAAGGAGTGGGAGAGAGAAGCAACTTGGGAATTGAGAGAGTAGGAGAGAGAAGGAAATTGAGGCTTAACTAAGGACCTAAGTTATGCTGACCAGAAACCCAGTCAGACCCAAAGACTGATGCAAGGAATTATCTCACAATTACACATCTCAAGCAACCCATATGTCTTATCTGAAAACTGGTCACATACTGATCAATCAGTTATTGTTTCAATGTTTTTTTAAATTATTTATAGATAGCTAGGGGAAGTGGACACCTCTTTTTCTGAATTCAGGGAATTGCGCCTATTTGCTCTCTCCTCCCAATTTAGAAAGTCTCTAATCTCACATCCCACTAGAAATCAGATTATCTAATGTTGTAT